TAACGCCATTCAATTTTTATCTTAACCAGACTATAGACTTTGTTGAACATTATGTAATATGAAGACAACATGTAGTATTTAAGTGACCAAGTAGTACTGGGGTAAAAGTTATTCAGTAGTGTTGGAATGAAGTGAAAAAATTGTGAAAATTTAAAATATTCCAAGAGCTCAACTTACTTGATTTATACATGTTTCAATCATGTTTTGTCAACACAAAATGCACAGGTTTATTGAATATGAATAAGTTGTGTTGATTTAACTGAGTTAAGTTTCTGCCAAAGCAAAACAATTGTGTGCAACCAATGTCCACTATTGAATTGAGTAAATCCAACATGTTCTTTTTTTCAGTGCTGTGTGTGTGTGTATATGTAAACGTGTAAAAACTGCAGATAGTCAGATTAACAGCAACAGCATATATGTATATCTGCCGTTGTAGAAATAATCTCATGTAAACAATAACATGACGCACAGCGTCACAGAGAACACAAATTGTTCCTGTACGCAGATGACATTCTGGTATTAAGCTAAGACCCAACTAATTCTACCACAAGACTATTACAGGTGAACAAACATTGGAAACTCAGACCTAGAACAGTACAAATACATTTATTTAAACAGATGACAAAAATACAAACATTGAGCTAAACAAAATTTCTAGTTTTTATAACAGTGATTGGGTGGCAAAATGTGGACCCCTGGTGCACTGTCAAGGTACTGGTTGGTGGACAACGAAGATGTCATTCACAAAGCAAATAAACTATTACATTTTAATAGTGTAATTTACTTTAACATTGCCATTCAGTATTTACTTTGAAAATAAATTGAATTCATTGGGAAAAAAAATTAAAATGACTTAAAATTTCATGTGATTGTTAATTTACTGACATACTGAATCTGAAGTTAAGAAAAAATAAACTTCTGAATGATGTTTCAGTGCCTCTTGGCAGATATTTGTAAATGCAACATACATGCAGAGTGAGACAAAAGCTCACATAAACGTGTTTCCTGTGTTTAAACAATCTATTAACTAATGAGGCTGACCCTGAATAGTGGCAGGGATTCATACCATTAGCCATTTTTGAATCTCGAGAATCAGAAAAATTTGACCAAGTTTTGGAATTTAATTGTATTCTTTCAAGATTTATAAGGTAATTTATCAAGGTAGTACTAATAACAGTGTGTTTAAATTTTTTTCTTAGTGCAGGTAAGACTATCTAACATTCAATTAAGTTAGCTTGCTAACATTAGCTGACTTAGCTAACAATAGCTACACATTTAAACTGTTAATTAAACTCTGCTGGATTAATGTGTTAAAGAATGTTTTGCCAGTAAACACTAGCTGTCCGTAACACTGTCTCTTCTTTTCTGTGTGTACTTAAAGCAGGGAACCCCGCCCCCTGTCTTTGACAGATAACATTAATTTAAGAACACAGTGATAGGGTCAGGACTGCCAAAATTAATTAAATAAATTATTAATTAAATAATGAATTAAATGTGTGAATAATTAATTAATTAAATAAATATATAATGAATTAATTAAATGTGGCATTAATTAAATAAAATTTGAAATCAATAAATGAGTAATTTACTAAATGTTTTAAATTAAATGAATAGGCATTTAATTAATTATTTAAATATGTATTTAATGAATTAATTAATATTTTTATTAATTGATGAAACATTCAATTTATTATTTAATGACATATTTAATTAATTCATTTTCTGGGCCTCCATACTCTTCAACGTCCAGTGGTAGAAAACTGTATATGGAGTAGGAAAACAGGCTGTTCATAACATGTCAAACTATTAAAAGTTATTTTTAGTTCATAGCTTTTAAAATTTCATGGGAATGTTTGCAGTTTTGGCAATAAGAAATTGTATTTTCACATTTTAAAAAAGCAATTAATGCCTGCATTCTTACTCAGGGAGTAGTACTGGGAAACTCCTTAATTAAAAGCCAGCAATATATTATTAATACATGTATAATAAATATTAATTTAGCTCTGACACACATACTTAGTTTAGTTTTTTTTTCTGGTTGCATTACTGTTGTTCTGATCCTGAAAACCAACTTAAACCACAGTGTTACAGTAAAATAAATATAATAAATATAGAATAAATATAAATGGTGCTTTCAGTAGATTGAGTTTATTAGAATTTCCTTTTAATTAATATATCCAACTATTATTTGTGTGATTTACTTGCAGTTCTATTCTGCCTTTATTTGATAGGTATGGCTAGTTTGGCTGTTATGCAATGTCATTTGATTGGCGTGTTATGCGTCCAATAAAGCACTCTCAATTCAACACAATCCAGCCAATGGACGGATCGTGGGGGCGGGGCTTTGTTGACGCCAGAAATGTCCAGGCCAGGTGCGTTGAGTCATTTCCCACAAACATAGACTCAGGTATACGAAACAGCAGAGTTGGTTGTTTTAATTTAAAGAATATGGGGTGAATAGAAAGGATAGAGTGGAAGCTTCGTAGTGCCTGGTTGTACTTAAGCAGAAAACGTTAGAAGAAGCCAGCGGTGTTCAGAGCACGAAATGAGTGGTAGGTATTTGTTTACGCGTCTTTATTTTCTCAGACACCATATTGCAAAAAATATCCAAATTTAGCACTGACGTTTTAGATACTATAGAAGCCGGATTAAATTAAGACGCAGAGCAAGTTTATTACACGTTTTCTCATTTGAAAATTTATATGCTAAACTTAAATTTGGCCGTTTGACGTAACTTTTGACGTTATTTAGCGTCGCTGTCCTTCGTCCTGAAGCTCAGTGAGGCGCTCAGGGGGAACCCCAAGATGGTAACTCTTAGTGACATGTAACCATGGCATCAGCACCATGTGACTTCCTGACTCTTAAGTGGGTCAGACAGGACTTAAATAAACCAGTTAAATCCTATTTCTTACCTCACCTTCTGCAGCTAAGAATGAACCTTTCCTGAGCTGATTTGGAAAGAATTTGGTAGCTCCATATGTTCGACAGTTTTTTGTTTATTTGTTTCTTTTACATCCAAATGCATTATGGTGTATTCATATGATGTGCAAGTTTTCATTCATGCATCCAATATTGATTTGGTTCTGAGACTCAGACAGGTGAGAACAATGCAACATGGGCAGGAATGGGCCAGAGTGTGACTCCAGGAAGCAAAAGAGACAGTTATCATGTGGGAAAACAGCCAACTTCAGTGAGTAAAATCCAGTTTACACCACTGCACATACGAGTGATTTGAAGTTCTCTTAAATGTGAGTATAATGCAGTATCACCATGTAGGGAATACAAGACAATCCGTCTGCTCTGTGCTCCTGTAGAGTCCTCTGCGTGGAGCTGAGAGTGTGTGAAAGGAGACCCCGCCAGCCTCCATGGCTCAGTCGTCAGACCCATCCCGCAGAGAGAAGACCCCAGGGACCCAAGGGTCACACACAGCTACGCGCAACCTCTTACGGAAGAAGGAGCAGCGCCGGCGTGGAATCCGATCCTCCTCACCAATGGGTCGGGTCATCCTCATCAACTCTCCTGTGGATGGTAAGGAGCAGTCAAGCTGGCTGCTGGTGTAGTGCAGCTTGTAATACACAGTCTCCTGTAGACTAAACAGCGATTCCTTCTAATTTATTAGTCATAGAGAGCGAACAAATAGTTTTAGCATTCTGTTATCAATACATTAAACCAAGCATAAGTCTCACAACATGAATCCACAACACTTTTATACTCAAGCTTACAATCACGAAGAATTAAATTCTGTGGACAAATGCACAGGCACTGCAGATTAGTTTTAATATTTGGGGCTATTGTGCCTCTGTAACATGTCTTCTTTTATACTAAGAGAAAGAAAAAGGTCTTGATTTTGCTGCATGTTGTAATGCAAGATGCTAATTTATGCTAATTGGAGTATGTTTAATGAGATAATGCAGCATTTTTAAACATAAAAGCAGACCTGGAATGAAAAAATTTATTTCTGAAAATTGGCCAAAAATGTTTTTAATTACAAACTCCGTAGATACTTGACCCCGTTGAAATATCCACCACAATCAGCAACAACTTTTGACTTTAAATACTTTAGGTGGTGATGATAGCGAGGACCTCCACACAATCACGGTGGATAAGAGTGTGGACGGCAAGCTTGGATTCAGTGTGCGTGGAGGCTCAGAACATGGTCTCAGCATCTTTGTCAGTAAGGTAGAGGACAACAGTGCAGCAGGTAAGATTAATTTAGTCTCTGTGGAAATAAATAGATGTAGCCACAGATGTGAGAGTGCACAGAATAAACATTTGCTGTGTTTGTTACTCACAGGATTTTATTTGTGTGCTTGTTTTCAGAGGCAGCAGGCCTGCTCGTAGGTGACAAACTGGTGGAGGTGAATGGCATCAGCCTGGAGAGCATCACCATGAGCAGTGCTGTGAAGGTGCTGACGGGCAACAACAGGCTAAGGATGGTGGTGAGACGTGTTGGCAAAGTCCCTGGTATCCGCTACTCCAAGGAGAAAACTACCTGGTAATAAAGCAGTATTCCTATTCATGTTTATTCCCC